ATTAAAAAAGAAATGTTTTTTAAGAATGTGAAATAAAGAAAAATAATCTGCCCTAAAATTATGTGAAATGTTTTAAGAATATGTTAAAGTACATAATTGTAATTATCAAGACATTAGGGACTGGGAATGTTTGGTTTCGAAATTTTCCAGGCCTCCGGTTGGGTGGCTTTTTCCCCAAAAGCTTTGTGAAATAAAAAGGGCAAAAGTGAAAAGATAGACCAACTCGAACTATTAACTACCCCATCCGTTTTAATTTAGATGAGATAGTTTGACTCGACACAGAGTTTAAGAGAAAAAGAAATTTTTGAAACTTGTTGTCTTAAAAGTTTAAAAGTTTAAGGGGTAAAAATTTTATGGGGTCATGACATTTGTGTGGTTATAAAAGTTTCTAATTAAATGTAAAATGATAAAATGAAGAGTTTAAAATTAAATTATTTCTAAATTTAAAAATATTTTATTTATTTTAAAATACACTAAAAAGAAAGTATCTCATTTAATTTAAAAGAGAGAAAGTATTTCTATTTGAAACTCGTGTGTAGCTGCTACATGCTTCACTTTTTCATTCTATGGAATTTCTTTTGAACGTGGGGCTCTGAGTTTGCGTGGTAAGAAAAGTAGCATGATTTGCACGTAACAATTTCCAGGCACCAATCATTTAGTGCGAGATGGAGTAATATTCCGCGACCGATCGAGTGCCTTGGTCACGAAATATTTCTGGAACACATTAAAAAATTACTGCCACGTAATCTGGAAAGGAGGGTTCATTTTTCGACAAAGGTCCAAATATATCTGCTCTCGAAAATTATCTAAGAATATTCCTCGTTATACTATTGAATTATTTATACATCTGCAGTCATATTTTGGGTTTAAATATACCCTCATTTAAATAGGGGGACACGTGCCATCGTCTTGTTGGTCAATTCTAAATATCTCATAATTAATTAAAAAGACCCATTATCCATACCCAAAAAATATTTTTTTTTTGTAAAAACTGAAAAAACTAAAAAAATATTTTTACTAAAAACTGAAAAAAACGAAAATATTTATTTTTCCAGTTTTTACAAAAAATTGCTTTTAAAAAAACTGAAAAATATTTTCTAAAACAATATTTTTGTAAAAACTGAAAAGCAATTTTCTAAAGCAATTAAAAACTGAAAAAAACTAAAATATTTTTAACTAAAAATTGAAAAAAAAGAAGAAAATATATTGTTTTAGAAAATATTTTTCAACTTTTTTTAAAGCAGTTTTTTGGTAAAAACTGGAAAAACAAATTTCGTTTTTTTCAGTTTTTAGTAAAAAAAAATTCAGTTTTTACAAAAAAGATTGCTTTAGAAAATTGATTTTCAGCTTTGTTTTTCAGTTTTTTCAAAAATATTGTTTTAGAAAATATTTTTCAATTATTTCTAAAGCAGTTTTTTCGTAAAAACTAAAAAAAAAAAAAAATTGTTTTTTTTCAGTTTTTTGTAAAAAAAAAATTCAGTTTTTTTCAGATTTTACAAAAAAAAATTACTTTTCGAGTATGATTAATGGGTCTTTTTAATTAATTAGAAGATATTTAGAATTGACCAACAAGACGATGACACGTGTCCCTCCGTTTAAATGAGGTGTATATTTGAACCCAAAGTATGACTGCAAGGGTATAGATAACCAAATAGTATAACGAGGGGTATTCTTAGACCATTTTCGAAAGTAGAGAGGTATATTTGGCTCTTTGTTGTTTTAATAACTATATTTTTTAAAGGATACACACATCGGCAAAGGGCCAAATATACCCATTTACTTTCGAAAATGGTCTAAGAATACCCCTCGTTATACTATTGGGTTATCTATACCCCTGCAGTCATACTTTGGGTTCAAATATACCTCTCGTTTGAACGGAGGGACACGTGTCATCGTCCTGTTGGTCAATTCAAAATATATCATAATTAATTAAAAAGAGTCATTATCAATACACGAAAAATATATATTTTTTTGTAAAAACTGGAAAAAACTAAAAAAATATTTTTACTAAAAACTGAAAAAAATGAAAATATTTTTTTTTCCAGTTTTTACAAAAAACTGAAAAATATTTTCTAAAATAATATTTTTGTAAAAACTGAAAAATAATTTTCTAAATCAATTAAAAACTGAAAAAACTAAAAAAAAAAGAGAAAATATTCGTTTTTTCAGTTTTTACAAAAACACTGCTTTAGAAATCTGCTTTTTAGTTTTTTTTTTTCAGTTTTTACAAAAACATTATTTTAGAAAATATTTTTCAGCTTTTTTTAAAGCAGTTTTTTGTAAAAACTGGAAAAAAATATTTTAATTTTTTTCAGTTTTTACGAAAAAAAATTGCTTTAAAAAATTGATTTTCAGATTTTTGAAAAACATTATTTTAGAAAATATTTTTCAGTTTTTTTTAGAGCAGTTTTTTTGTAAAAACTGAAAAAAAAAATCATTTTTTTTTCAGTTTTTAGTAAAAATAATTTCAGTTTTTTCTTGTTTTTACAAAAAAAATTGCTTTAAAAAATTAATTTTCGGGTATGATTAATGAGTCTTTTTAATTAATTAGAAGATATTTAGAATTGATTAACAGGATGATGACACGTGTCACTCCGTTTAAATAAGGGGTATATTTGAACCCAAAGTATGACTGCCGGGTATAGATAATCCAATAGTATAACGATGGGTATTCTTAGACCATTTTCGAAAATAGATGGGTATATTTAGCCCTTTGTCGTTCATTTTTTCATTCTATGGAATTTCTTTTGTATGTAGGGCTTTGGATTTTACGCATTATACAGTTGGCGATGATCTGCATTCTGCACGTTCCAATATTCATTAATCGTTTAGTGCGAGATAATGTATATACTATATTCTACGACGTATGTGTCTTGGCCACAAAGTATGTGGTGGAAACATCTTAGGCTAGCTTTACCACCTTTCTTCAGTCTTAAATTAAACTCAATCATACACATAAAAGTTGTGGCGGAATAGACAAAATTCATTACCCTCAATAAAAAGTCATGAGTGTGAGTCTTGAAAATTAAAAGACTTCCGATAGAAAAATGCTAAGGTAGGGGCTCCCATGAATACACCAGACATCAAGTGGGAAAATTAAAAAAAAAAAAAGTCATTCTAATATTAAATCCAAACATGTAACGATTTCCAAAACTTCTTACCCTATATCTTAAACTTAATCTTTTTTTTATACTAAATCCAACATGCATGTAATGTTTGGTTGATCTCTTCTTTTAGTTTAAAATAATTAATATCTTGTTTTAGTATTACAAGTGAATTGACTATAAAATTCAAGTATAGGTATAGATGGTAATTTTCTAAATGTATAACTACAAATGATAAATATTGTGTATATATTTGCTGTGTTGTGTTGCATAATTTATCACAAAATATTTTGAACACTTTGCAAAATTAACATATATACCTTGGTTTCTCAACATATCATTATACTGTTTTTTTCTTTTAATTTTCATTTTAGGACTACTGAATTTTAACTTTTACTTAGGGGTCGTTCGGCTGAAGTTAATAGAAAAATTGATTCCTTAACTAAAATTTTGCATAAGTTAATACAGTATGTGACTGGCTAAATTGGTAAAAATAATCGCTGGAATTGGACCATAATGTACCACTTGAATTTACAATAAAAAAGGTAATAAAGCTTGGCTATGAAGATTCCACTCTAATGCTTGGCTCACTGTATGCCACTCGGTAGATGAATACAAGAAGTATGTTAGTCCCACACGAGTCTTGCGAAAGTGCCGAACTTTAGTACTAATTTAATAGCTGTATTTTTCACTTTAATATTACATTAATAGCTGGAGTTTGACACTTGGACTATTTTTGACTCTATTATAGGAGTAGTCTTTTTCTTAAGAGTTGTTGGAGAAAAGCGACCCCCAACGAAAGTCTGGGGAAACATCCAACAAATGTTATACATTATCTTTTTGTTTTTTTGTTACTCTCTCGTCCCCAATTTATTTTTTTATTTTAATTTAAAATAAGTATCTATTTATATAATTAAGAAAAAGTTAATTTATTTTTTTAAAATTATTCTTATGTACGTATTCCTAAAAAGTCTTTTACTCCTCACATTAAATTATACTGTAACATTTAATTAAGAATAATATAGTCACACTAACTATTTTTATCTAAAATTTAGTATTTCCTTAATGGGTGTGTCCAAAGCAAATTGATCACTTATTGTGAACAAGAGGAACTGACATATACTAACCCCAATCCCCACACTCACCCAAACCCGAGCGCATTTTCTTATATATCAAACTAAATTAGTCATATGAAAACAGAGTAAATAACATACTACAATTGGTTCAATTTATAATGATAGTGAAAAGTCTTAAACACTGTAAGCATATATATAAAACTTAAATTTGACAAATTAGCATTTTATTGATAGAGCAACTTCTTTATTTTGGAGTTGCCCAGTTGGATTGGAGGGTGGTCATCCATATGATGGTCTGGGATCGAATCCCTCCTCAATACTTTATGGGTTGAGCATGTCGCACAAGTGCGGTTTACATCTCCTGTGTGGTTTGCATGCTATTACACAGAGGGAGATTTACCTCGTGCGCACAAAGTGCTCACCCAAAAGGCAAAGACTGTGACAGAGGTTGTAGCGACTGCGAATTTCTCTTCTTACCAAAAAAAAAAATTCCTTATTTCTTAAACTCTTAAACATTGTGACCAGTCGAACATATCGAAAAATTGGGATAATCGAGAAGTGGCATTTGTTTTAAACTTTACAAAAAATATTTTGTAAGTGTTTTGTTAAAACTGTTTTGTAACAAATATTTACTTACTATATTTTGAAAGAGCTGGATGATGCAGTTTTTATCGTCATTTATTACTTCACTTCCGTACTGAAAGTCAAGTTTCTACGGCCGCGTTTAACCGGTCAATTTCCTTGCGCTACAGGGAGCAGACACTTCTTCTGAGCTAACTTTACCAATTTTAAAGTAGTATATATAGTTGCACTAAACACCCCTCCAATTCACTAAAAACACGCTCAGCTTCCATTTTCACTTTCATCCTCATTCATAATCTTACTGCAAAAATACCTCAGAATATAACACCATGGGAGCAATATCATTGACTGAGTTAGGCTCTAAGCTTGCTGGATTGATGTTCATTTGGGGCACAATTCAGCAATTCTTCCCCTATACACTCCGCAAACGCATCAAATACTTTTGGCAGAAATTGGAAAATTACTTCTACCCTTATGTTCAAATTACTATTGATGAATTCACCAATGGTAAAAGCAACGATATATACACCCAGGTCAGCTCTTATTTGGGTACTAAGTCAATCAACAAAGATGCTAAATATCTCAAAGCTGAAAAGTCCAAGAACAGTAAGTCTTTTGCTGTTAGCTTAGATGAAGGAGAAGAGATTATTGATCAATTCCTAGGAGCTAAACTCTCTTGGCGCTCTCATATTGAAACATTCAATGAAAATTCTTCAGGACGCAATAATTCACGTCCAATTGAAAAGAAAAGTTACACTATAACTTTCAATCAACGATATAAAGAAATGGTCATTGGAAAATACTTGAAGCATGTGATGGAAGAAGGCAAGGTTATAGAGTTCAAAAACAGGAAACAAAAGATCTACACCAACAATTGTAGTGAAGATTGGTATTGGTATGGTAAAGGTATGTGGAGGGACATTAACTTTGAGCATCCTGCAACTTTTGATACTTTGGCTATGGACCCTAAGAAGAAGGAGGAAATAATTATCGATCTCATTGCTTTTAGCAAAGGGAAGGACTATTATTCCAAAGTTGGTAAGGCTTGGAAGCGTGGCTATCTTCTTTATGGTCCGCCAGGGACAGGAAAATCAACTATGATTGCAGCTATTGCGAACTTCTTGAATTATGATATTTATGATCTTGAGCTCACTTCTGTTAAGGACAACTCAGGGCTTAAGAAGTTGCTTATGGAAACAACAAGCAAGTCTATTATTGTAATTGAAGATATTGATTGCTCTATTGATCTCACANGTTGGTAAAGCTTGGAAGCGCGGCTATCTTCTTTATGGTCCGCCAGGGACAGGAAAATCAACTATGATTGCAGCTATTGCGAACTTCTTGAATTATGATATTTATGATCTTGAGCTCACTTCTGTTAAGGACAACTCAGGGCTTAAGAAGTTGCTTATGGAAACAACAAGCAAGTCTATTATTGTAATTGAAGATATTGATTGCTCTATTGATCTCACAGGCAAGAGAAAGAAGAAGAAAAAGAAGAGCGAGGAAACAGTAAACGAAGATCAGGAAGATGACTCAGACTCGTCTAAAGAAAAAGCAAGTGAAAATAAGGAAACTGGCAAACTTACACTTTCAGGACTGTTGAATTTCATTGATGGAATATGGTCAGCTTGTGGTCAAGAGAGGATAATCATATTTACAACCAATCATAAGGATAAACTTGATCCAGCTCTTATACGTCGAGGACGGATGGATATGCACATTGAGATGTCGTATTGCAAATATGAAGCATTTAAAGTGTTGGCTAAGAATTACTTGGAAGTTGAAACACACCCTCTGTTCCAACAGATTCAAGGTTTACTAGAGGAAGTAAATATGAGTCCTTGTGATGTGGCTGAGAATTTAATGCTCAAAAATGCTTCAGAAGGACCTGAGATTTGCTTGAATAACTTAATTCAGGCTCTTAAAGAGGCCAAGAAAAAGGCCAACAAAGATAAAGAAGCCAAGGAAAAAACCAGCTTGAATTCCAAGAAAATCAAAAAGTTCTCTACAAAATTTGTTGGCCGTCTAAAAGAGTTGTTGAAATGATTTTTCCATATGTTTTCAACTTCACCTACCCGATCTTTCCTTCTCTTTTTGGCGGCCAGGGGATTGGGGCTTCTCCATGTATAGTCTTATTACTCTTATATTATTGTAACCTAAGATCAAATGAAGATATCCGGGCTAGAGTGGGTGTGTATCCGGTGAAGGACAAGATACGGGAAGTTTAGCTTAGATGGTTTGATCATCTGAAGAGGAGAAACACATATGCCTGAGTGAGGAGGGGTTGGCGCTAGAGGGGCTGAGAAGAGGTAGAGACAGACTAAAGAAGTATTGGTCTGAGGTGACCAGACAGGATATGACGTATCTTCAGCTTACCAGCTTACCGAGTACATGATCCTTGATAGGAATGTGCGGATGTCGAGAATCAAGGTAGACATCTAGTAGGTAATCGAGAGTATTAGCGTTAGTCCTTTTTTACCTGTTGTTCTTTCCGTTTCAATTTCTTACTATCTTGTTGTTGTTAATGCTTGGTGCTATAGTTTATTTTATTTTATTTTATTTTTTTAATTGCTTTTCGTGAGCCGAGCGTCTATCAGAAATATTCTCTCTACCTTTTAGGGGGTAAGGTTTGCGTACACACTACTTTTCCCATATCCCAATTGTGGGATTACACTAGGTTTGCTATTAATGTTGTTTGTACTCTTATATTATTGTAACTAGAAGGAAGCTACTATTTGATTTTGTTCTCTCGATCAAATTCTCCGCCTTTTTTAGTGAAATAATACTTGCAACTCAACCTTAATTGATAAATGAGGCATCATGCTCGATTTGACTTGGTCCTATCTTGAGTTGAACTTTAGGAGTGTACAACATTTGCATAAATAAACCGAAGAGTCATCCCAATGTTTCTGAATTTTTAGATTTTGCTTTTATAATGTCTCTGACGTGATAGGTTGCTCTAGTAGTGAGCACCCTCCACTTCCAACCAAGAGGTTGTGAGTTCGAGTTATCCCAAGAGCAAGGTGGGAATTCTTGGAAGGAGGGAGCCGAGGATCTATCGAAAACAACCTCTCTACTCCAGGGTAGTAAGTTACCGCGTGTTAGATTTAATTTCTGCTGCCTCTGAAGCTTTAGGATGTGGCCGGTGCTTATAAGTTCTGTTCAACTCTGTTTTCTTGCATAATATTGATATTCAAAAAAAAATAAATTAATGTCTTCTTAGGATTTCTACAGTGACAAATATTTTGGATGAAATGTTTTAGCTAGAATTAATTAACAGATAAAAGGGACAAACACTTTGGACCTCAAATTTAAGAATGTAACAAGCCGGCTAAACCTAGTTTAAGATTGGCAGGTAGAACTCAATATAACCATATAAAATATCTATTTGACTGTTACTAGATGTTCTCAGATGTAAACTAACCGTCCACCAAATTATATAGAGAACCTGATTCTCTAGATGTTCTGGTTCTCTATCAGTTCACACATAACACACACAGTAGTAAGTAAATACCACAATGATATTTTACGTGAAAAACTCTCAGCTCGCGAGATTAAAAACCACGACCTACACTCATAGGATTTCAACTTCTATACACTTAGCAACTTTAGATTACAACCTATTATAACCTAGGAATTAAATTCTTAATCCCTCACTTACTTGCAATAACTATATTACAAGCCTCTCTATAATAACTCTATTACAAAGTATACAATTTTGACTAACTCTAGCCAAAACACAAATACACGGTTTATGATTTACAAAGATATCCTACGAGATGCTTCTAACTAAGTTGTGTAGGAGTTACAAGTGAATAACATTAACAAAAATACAATAACACTAAGAACACTTGATATACGCAATACTGGGATCTGGTCCGTTGTTATGTTGCTTCTTTATTTTTCAACGCCTTTGAGTAAAAGAGGGCGGCTACACACTTGAGCGAGAATTAATGTTTTAGGGCTTTGCAAGTGTGTATATCCATTGCCTCATGTTGGTAATATATAAGCGAGGTCATTGGAATGATGTAAGCAAGCATCTGGTACACATCATGCTTCAAACAGTGACTGTTGCACTGTTGCGTGTGCAATGCAACAGCTTTAACAGCTGTAAATAATTGACTTATATTGTGATCGGAGGAACTGATAGCCATCTGTTTCCTCTGTTATTTCTTTGACTGATATCATTGGAACTTGTGCCAGACATATGACTTGTTATTCCAAGCACTTGAAACTTTGTATCAGACTCCTTATCTGATTCTCACATGAAGTTTGTTAAATTATCAAAATACAAGAGCAAGTAACTTGTCGTTCTGACAAATAATTTGGAAGAACAAGAATTCATTCTTTAGGTAGTTGTCGACTATTGTTGATCTCAAGCGTTATTCTCTTTGTTAAGTACTTCATTTCGTTCCAATTTAATTCTCATGATTTACCTCATAAGAAAGCTTTATAAGCTAAATAACTGATTCTAGGAAAAAAAAGAAAAGAAATAATCCGTGATTTGAACAGTTCTCCATCCCGGAAACTACAGAAAGGTTCTTTATGTTATAAGAAAAATCAAATTATGGTGGATGTCTACTCTTCCTCCATGATCTTCTCAAATGCTTAATGACATATTCAATGATATATTTCTATGCTTAATGACATATTCAATGACATATTTTTCTTCACTTTTCATGCCTATATAAAGGCCTTGTAATAGATAAGAAAATACACACAATTGAAGAAGAAAATCTCTTCCTTCTCTCTATCTCCATTTCTTGTTCATGTTTTACTAAATTGCTTTTATTTCATAACAACATGTCTTGTTCATGTTTTACTAAATTGCTTTTATTTTATAATACGTTATTAGCACGAATTGCTCATTTCATGATCTTCTACGTCAAAACTATGTAAATTATAAGTAGACAATGAGATCAAGTACAATGAAAAATGTTTTGGATGATAATACAAAGATAAGTTTTACATCCATCTAAACACATTCATACTTTCATATCTTTGCATTAACTTTATGTGCAGTATTTAGTTAAAATATTTTTTTCAATTGTATCCAGTGAAATAAAGAACTGGAAAGGTATGTCTTTATTTGCTACATCTCTTATAGGACAAAGATAATATTCTAACGTATATATATGTTCTGACCTTTTACATACTATGATAGATAATTATTAAGGTAATTTAGTAATAATATTTTTACCATCACATGATGTATTTCATTGAAAGCAAAATTATCAAATATGTAGGCGATTTTACAGTACCTTGCAAATTTGGCATTCGAATATACAATCAATATAAACTCATTATAGTTATAATTTATAATAGTCACAGTTATGCATTAAGCCTTAAATATTTTTGCTGGAAACATAAGGCTCATTCCTCCGTATTGGATTTTTTTGGTGAAGTTCTTATAGTATTTGAAATATAAGTGGTTATAGGTTATTTGCATATTTTTTCTAATTAATTTATTAAAATGTAAAAGTGATTGTATCATTTAAAAAAAAGACATATATCCTAACTAGCATTTTTGTTGCAGAGGAACTGTTTCAAGATTGAAATAGTTATGTATGTCTTCTTCAAAGTTAATTTACTTATGCCTATAATTATGAAGTAATAATATTTTAAAGGCTCGAGTGCGAGTCCTAGTGAATTTTATGCCAAAGATTGAGGGTAAGACGATGGGTTCAAGTCCCAACGCACTACGTTGATGAAAAGACGTTGGATTCAAGTTCCAACGCATTATGGCCTAGCATGCCTTTATATGGGTAA